AATCAAAACGGAGGTAATCTTGAGCTAAAGTCATAATGAGTAAATCAATCGAAAATTGACTTTTGTTTCCATCATATCAGAATTATAAATTAATTCAATATTTCGAAAGTACAAATAATACAGTTTGTTATTAGTAGACTATTCAATGATCAGTTAAAATATGAACAAAACGAATCCGACAGCACACATCTTTCATAAATTTATTTTTTTAATACACGAACCAATTATCGATGATTACTGAATAATTTTCACATTTCTGATTGTGATGGTGGTGAAGATAGTTGTAGCTACTATGTCACTCACTTAATTTATAAAATGTGTGGAAAGTTAGTTTTGAATTGGATAATATTTAGTGCTTCAATTACGATAATATTTAGCGATTATTCACACATAAATCCGCCTGGATACCCTCTGGGGCTACTGCCGGTCCCAAACTCGGATAACGGAATATGGTTGGGTATGGGTTAGCGACCCCATCCCGTAGAAAACTAACTCAATAAAAAATGCTAACCAGAAATAATTCAAACTATTTGAAACGCTAATTATTTGCTAATAACCCATTTTAGTAGAGCATTTATTATTTTAGTTAATAAGAGAGTAAACTCTCAATGAGGTAATGTTCAAGATCACATGTGACAGTAAGGCTATATAAGCATTGTTCCATTTTTCTAACAACTGGTTCGAAAGTACTTCATAAACGGTAAGTAAACTATTAGAATGTCATTTATTCAACCTTATTTTCATCTGTTATACTATTGGAAAAATTAAGATAATTTTGAATATGATTGATTAATAACTAAACTTCCGATAGTATCAATATGTAATTATAAAAGGCCCTAAAAACATGGACTCTGGAAATCCAAATCGTGATCACATTAATTGTTCTAATCCCGCTTGATTAGGGGCATAAGTGAATATCTCAAAATTTGATCTTGGTGATGTGAATAGAATTGCTTTGTCAAATATCAGATACATCAACTCTACTTAAGTTTTTGAAAAACCAGTACATCTTGTAAAAAAATTATCACTTAAGGAATAACAAATTAATATGAATATTCCGTAAATAACTTCAATGGTATACATAAGCTTTTACTTCTTTATACCTGTGACCTCTCACAAAAATCTCAAACCTACTCTGTCCTAGGCTCTCCTTCCCAGCTGCTTTCGAGTGCTATCCATTCTTTTGATTTCTGGCTCAACGTGTTCTTTGGTCAACAATGCTCAATTTGTGATGCGGATATATATAGACTTGCAGTGTCTCCTATGCACCCCCAGCGTCTTTCTCTAAATTTATCCTTAACTGGAATCTAGTTTTTTCTATGCCATTGTTGATTTTGCTAATGGTGTCTGGCCTACAGATCTGAAGGATCTTGCGTAAACTGTATATGAATACCTGTATCCATCTGATGATGACGGTAGTAGTTCTCTAAGTTTTAGTTCCATACAATAGGAATGTCTTGGTGTTTTTATTGGAAATTCTAACTTCGGTGTTGGCTGACATTTGTTCCGAGTTCCATATATCCTTAAATTGTAGGAAGACTACTCCTGCTTTTTTTATCCCTGCCTTTTGTCCTATGTTCCTAATGACATCAACTAGATGATGGTTATTTTTTAAAATACTTTTCAATAAAGAAAATTCGTTGACGAGTTCATTATACTTTGTAGACTTATCGCAACTTGCTGCTCATTTTACGTAGCGCCTGAAGTAATAGATTCGATGAATATTTAGCTTGCACTGCGGAGAAATTTAAACCCCAAATAACCCATTAAACGCGAATTAGTTCGATATTGCCAGTCTTTTCAAGCAAATATATTGAAGAAGACTCAACTTGTCTATCCATAGTTAGTAGCTGAAAAATGGTTTCTTGTTTTTCAGTCTATAGTTATCTAGGATTCAGAAATAGAAAAACTTTAGAAAGCTTGCGGATATTTCACTTCCAACCAAAATGCGTTAATTAAAGAAACTTAAAATTACACAAAATATGGCCCGTTCTTTATTTATGTCGAAGCAGTTTTATGGAAGTATCTTAAAGTGGAGAAAAAGCACAACAATTATCGACCTACATTAATCGAAATGCCTATGTGATAGTTCATAATAAGTGCTGAAAACCAGTGTTTATTATTTATCTTTTACTACGTCAACTACACACAGATGGTGAGCTTTTTCCTAGTAAACTGCTTGTAAGTTGGTTTCCTGTTCGAAAACAATTCGCTCAAATTATTCAAAAATATAACATACTCATGCTAGGATAGCAACGCTTTATATTTTTTAAAGAAATCATTTGGAAATCTAACCTTACGAAACTTATGTGTTGAGATTATCCCATAAGAAAATTTAAGCTTGGGAATTTCAATTCTCGAACGTGTTGTTCAGTTTATCTGCTTTGATACTTCTGTAATGTGTTGGTATTTGAGAAGACCTTATATTAATCAAAATACTTTTGACTTATTTCCAAGCATATTACTTGGCAAAATATTTGAGCAGTTGTAGAATGACAAGCATTTCGTTCATCAGTCTACTGCCTTTTTTATTGCGGCCGACAACAAGAATTAGATCATTTTATTCCTGAACTAGTTTTTCATTTTTTAAGGAATTTGTTCTAGGCCTACTCGCCTCATCTTATGAATAAATATAGAAGTTATAACATTCGAAGATCCCATTACTTCTTAAAGTAAACGTAACCAGCTGATAGCCTAAACCATTTTGAAAACATGCAGCTTCTCGAGTAATGTTTTCAGTATGCTGGAGATTCAGGGTGATATTTCTTGAAACACATCAAATAATTTTTCTCAGTTTTCAAGTATTTAATTCAGTGTTTTTCACGCTCTGATCCATTGAAATGCATCACGGATCTAATCAGTGAATTATCGTACAGAATTATATCGTTTTATTTCCATGTGATACATCAGCAGTTAAAACAATTAAGTTGATTTTATCACATTTAAAGACAGCCAATCTTATGCAAGTAAATCTCACTACAGTCCAAACACCAGTGTAATCAATTTCAACTTTGAAGCAACACGAATTTAGTGAGTTATGATATCATACGCTTATGAAAAGTAAAATGAGAGCTCATGTGTGATGCCCTAACAGACGTCTTAAGTTGTATCGAAAGGCGCATAGGTACTGTGGTGTATGCTACTGATGTCAACACATATAAGTAGCATGTGTGTATGAAATGCCTAGTGGCAGAAGGTTAAGATCGAAAAGAAGAGAACAAGAACATAGAGTGATTGGTGTGGATACGAACGAACGATCAAGTTTGAGACAACTGACTGACATTCGCAAATGAAGTATTTAATGTATGGTTTCACAACAGATTCTGTGGTTTTACCCAAACACATTTGATTGTCCCCCATTGTTCTCGTTTGCTACAGTACTTGCAGAGACATGAGTACCTCTACATAGAAGCTTAACAGAATGAAAAATATGATCCTATCCCGGATTCTATTAATAACTGATGCAAGTAATAAACTTTATAAGTATATTTTTACATCAAATTTTTGACATTTACTTACTGTGATGAAAAAATAGTTATCTTTGTAAAGTTTGTTTTGATAATGGTAAATAGTAGATTATTTAACAAAAAGTTGGATTCCTAATATGGTTAATAATTCTCTTATTTAAAAAAAATACTTCCCAGACTTATTTATCGAATAGAAGTTCATTGTTTTGTACTTCCACGGTTATTTTAAAGAACCGTTTGTTAGTCAGATATGAAATCTTCGTTCCCAATTGATGTGTCTGATAATCGATTTCTGCCATCGTCAAAGAAAGTCTATAAAATTTTTTCGAATCTGTTATAGTAATATAATTTTAAAGATTACTGAAACGCATAAAATATGCATCCATTTTCCATAGATAGTAAATAACCTAATTAAGGCTATTTGTTGGAAAACGTGTAGTGACCGGCCCTATGTCAAGCCCACATAGGTTTTTCTAGCTTCTGGAAAGACCAATTTATTTATGCTTCTCAAGCCATATTACGACCTTGTCAACTATTCTTTGATTAACTCAGACTGTTTTTATGTGGTCGAATGTGTGTTAATTGCTTGCTCTATTCATTACGTGTTTGTAATTTATTTTTGTCTGAATATAAATATTGAGTCACGCGTTATCAAATGGGATCGGCTCACTCGCCTTCTTCAATGCGTATCATTTAGTTTCGCTTCCCCTCTTTGGTTGTCTGTTCAGATCGCCGATTGTATGAAATATGCGCACTCAAGCTTCATTCTCGTATTTGACTTTAATTCTGTCATTCGCCAACACGATTAATGTCGATGATTATATACGGAGGTAGCTGGGATGTATATTTCGATCACAATCAGAAAAGATTTAATCAGAGTCAGATACAGGGCCACTAAAGTTAGCCCACTGATAACTTTATCACCCGACTTAACTGGCCACATTAAAGTACTGAGCCTTACTACGAACCTAACGCAACCTCCAAGACTTCGTAGATGATGAACATTTCGAACTCTACACATCCGATAAATGAACCAAGTGCCTGACTTAATCGAAGAGCAACTCAAGCGACTCAATCTCTAACCCGACGCATTTAGCGAAGTCAGTACAGCAGCGACATGGACATGCTCAAATCGTATTATCTTATCAATACTTTGTTCCTGTGTCAACTCTGCTCACTGATCTAGTTGACGGATTGTTCGATTGGGATTATAATTATTATCATATTCTCATTATCACATTAATGACATATCATCACTTAACATGGAGTAATAATAGCTGTCCGTGTTGACCTTAAATCAAAAGGTCACGAAATAACTGTAGCAACCACAAAAATGCCAAAAGCACTATTCGCTGCATTTCACCTGGTATCTTGTCCACTTTTCTCAATTATTCTTCCTTAAAGCCATGGAGAAAGAGTATAAGAAAACAGATTTAGATGTCTATCGTTACCTATAGTCCGAATGCGATCAATTATAAAAGGTATTATCATTGAAAAGAGTTTATGTGTAAACTTAACTAAATAGCATAACATTCAAGGGAAGAATTTGGGTTTCCGTAATCTATAATCCCAAGGGACCCCGGTTCTTTGATGATATGGTTCATAAATATCATTTGGATAATATTTTGGTGTCCGCCATTGTCTATTTAGCAAATTATTTATTAAAAACGTTGTTGCACGATTGGTCAAAATGTGCTCGGAACGTCGATCTAATTCAGATTCACTTCGTCTGTGTAACAATATAAAAGGAAAAATAAATAAAAACTGAAGTTTGTTGAAATTGTAAAACCGGTAAAAAAAAAAGCAAAGAACAATCGACAATCAAATGTAACTCATACGTACACAAACTTTGTTACAAGAACCAGTGGAAAATAAAGAGCACAAACAAAGTGTTAAGTATTTAATTTCCGAGGTGTAGTTTCAAGGTAACGTGTTCACTGCAAGACACGAACGCAGATCAAACTTCAGTACAATTCATGCAAATACAACTGCACACATACATTGCAGTTTACCACAATCATTGGTTTACATCACAAAACTACACAGATTTTCATTTAAAAAAATAATCACTAAATGTTCAAGTTAGGGTTTTATTTAGCTAAATGTAATCACTTGGAAACAATACCTACGAATATAAAACTTTAGATACTTGATGCGAGAAAATAGCAACTATCAGCCCTAACCCTACAAATTCGCACAAACTATCACCTAGTATAAAACAGTGAGAAGCGCCTATCCAACGTTCAATAAACTTGGTTTGGTAAGCACAAATTAGTCTATTTTACTTTGAATAACTATTTATTACTCGGCTACATATCACAAAGATGGAGAAAATTCGATTAAATCTCTATACAATACTAATATCCCTTCGTTATAACAAAATTATTCAATGACATTAATTCTGTGAATATTTTTCAAAATGAAATAATGTATAATAAAAGAAGTATATATATTATATATATATATAATATATATATATATATTATATATATATATATATATATATACATTACCTATATAAATGTTTAGCTCGACCAGCTCGTGCGTGAATATATGCACCCCAACGAAGACGTTTAAATCTATCAATAGCATCTTGATTTGGAGGGTTATAGTCACCAGTTTCTGAATAAAATTTTTTCACCTCTTCACTTCTGCGATTTCGAGATGGTATCTGCAAAATACGCCACTGACTGTTGAAATGTAAAAGTATTTTATTTACAATTTTGGCATTCACATGAGAGATAGTATTAATCAAATGACTAGTGGAAATAATGAAATAATATCACATAAGCAGTATACACAAGACAAATTCATCAAGAGAACCTTAATTATTCACAAATGAACAATGACTCATCTACGAGTATATATTTTTAACTATAAATTAACTACGAGCAACCATATACAAATATGAAAAATGTATTGTTGGTGATCGATTACATATAAAGTTGTTTGCGAATTATCATATTGTTAATGGTATCATTTGTTCCACGGGCAAACTACAGATAAAACAAACTAGACATTTATTTACACAACACTTACTTACAGTTACTACAAAAACATAAATGAAAATGTCTAAGTTTTACGAGAGAGGTTTCTAACCAGAATATCCCGATGGAAATGGAAATAATCCACCTTAGTGCATTTAACATGATATTTATCACTGTAATATATTTGACGAATAGTCACAGCTTAACATTCACTACTATTACAATCCCTTGAAAAAATGAGCTTAAATTGATATTTTACACAACGCTATGAAGTATTCCCATTTATTCGACGGTAAAATCTTATGTCATATAAACAAGAATACAATATGTAAAAACACTTGGATATATTGAACATATAGTAGTGTAGAAACAGAAATGTCAACCCTAAACCAGTGTAGCATATTTATTTGGTGAACATTCCAAGGTTATCAATAAAAATAATCTGATTTACTTAGGTAACTATACATATTATTAAGTCATTTGTACGCGTGTCCTTTTTATTGTCCTTCCCATATTTATGTATTGCTCACAGGACAACAGATCAATATCTATTATCTTATAAGCGAGATTTCTGTTCATAATTAAAAAAAACGATGAGTGGGAAGTACATTTTATTTAGTGAAGAAAATAAACATACGAAACTGGACATTCGAAAAAACAGATAATGAAGAAAACTACTGGTTGTTAGGAATTTTGAAGCAGAATATGGGGTTGATTCTGATTTTTATGGAAATAAAATTCGATTTTCACAATTTACTACTACTAGTAGTAAAACTAATTAAACAACACTTTTGACAACGAGAGCAAAATATTTACATTTGAATCTATATCAAAGTGGTGTGTAAAAATACTTTCAGTCATACTAAAATCCAACAACTAGCTAAAAAACATATTTATTTCCGGGATTAGGTCTGTGAAGATCATTTATATTATGAAATGATAACTATTACAAACGGGGTAGAGAGACCAGCACATTTTTGTCCTCCTGTACAGATTGCCTACAAATAACACACAGGCTACAGGATCTTAAAGTCCCAAGTTCGATTTCTAGCGACGAAATCGTAAATCGCCCTCGAAGGACTTCACATTAGGATGAAATGTTCGCACAACATTTATTAATTTTTTTCTTATTTGATAAACAAATACACGTTATAACACACAGGTATTGATAATAACATAGACGCAATTAAAATGAAGTATACATTACATATTTTAACGCTTGCATTATGCCAATTAAGATACCTTTATTTATCATTGATTTTTCGTTATCCGAATGATAATTTTATAGCACAAAAATTATATAAAAATTGACTAATATTCAAGAAGAAACAACCATATTCATAGAAGGGTAATAATAGAACATCAATATACTAACTTGAAATTGAAAAGATTGTTGACGTTACTAACAGATCCTGTTGTAGAAACATGTCGTAATAAAGAATTAAATACTCCGTAGAAATTTTTTAAACACAATGTTGAATTTGACTGAATCATCATATCTAGATGTCTATACATTTTAACATGAAAAGAAATCGTTAAAAATTAGCGAATTTCCATCAAGAAAGAATGTAAATATTATTCAATTGAATTATAATGGATGATTATTGATGTTTATTATTAGTAAAAGAACTAACGAACGTATAAAAGGTAGTCTAACGAAGAAAATAAAACGTCAATAAATTCGAGAAAAGTATTAAAAAAAAGAAAAAAAACTTAACATAGAAACTGAAAGAAGACAAACTGATTTGGGTTCAAATCTGATAAATATTAAAGTTCATAGTACTGAGACAGAGTTTAAGAATCCCTAAAACCTATCTCACTACAAAGTTGTTCCAAACATGCTTTAGATATCAAATAGTAGTAGGTAATTCAAACATTTTCATGAATTGAAAACAATAAATACTCTTGATAATCTATGCTGTCCAAAGAAGGAGTGTACTGAACGAGAATGCAGATGGGGACAACCAATGTATTTAAATCCATTATTTATCATTCAAATTCTGTATGATTCTTCCAAGTCACAATTATTTCCGTTTCTTTTTTTTTCCAGTTGATCTTCATAGCCTTCTGCTTCCCGGTTTTCTACTTCCGATTGGTACCACATACTACTTATGTCGACAGATATACACCACAGGAGGAATATAAAGATCCTATAAACTAGTTAATTAGACGATTATCAATGTCTAGTAAAATGTGAAATAAACTGAAACACATATGAAGTTTAAAATCTAATCATCACTAAACATGATAAACAATAGACAAAACACAACTGCATTGTCTGTAATCAATCAACTTTCTTTTAAATCATTTATTATTTGTTATATACACTCAACCGAAAAAAAGCAACAAACATTCAATAAGCAACAATAAGAATATTAATTAAGAAGGTGAAGGATTAAGTGCAAATAATTTCTATATTATAATTACTTATAAAAAATTACCAAAGTGCGTTTATAGAATCACCTTTTTTTAAAAAAAAAGATCTGACATTATTATTCTCTTTACTGGTAATGTCAACAAAACTAAAACTGTCAAAACTACTGATATCGGATATTACCAATAAACTAATCGTTGTAATAAATGAAAAAAAAACCCACGAAATTGAAAATGGAGAGAAAAGTGTGAGAAAATGATTCATTTAAAAATAACAACAATGTGTTTGATAATAATGAATAATAGAATAAAATAATATTGATATGTTATGTAATTGAATAAGACAAAGGAGGTACATTATAGTCTACATAGACTTATGTATAAGCAACATTAAACATAAAAGTGTAAATGATAAAAAATAATGCTTTTCTTTGAAAAAGAATATTAAGTAATTAACTGATATGAATTTTATGTGAACTAGTTTTGATTATACACACTAGAAATACTTTACAATATTAATCACAGACATTCTACGCTACATCATAATAAAGGATAGTTTCAATGATGAATAAAACTCGACTAGGTATGTATTGATAAAGTAACAAATAGATACAAATGAAACAAAATAAAAGAGAACGTCAAAAATATAATATTATTAGATAAAGTAAACAGAAAAATTAATGGAAGACAACTTTAAGAGTAAATCATAATGAAGTGACCACAGATTATGAATACAGTAAGTGATTATAAATAAAAATTTAGTATGAATCATGATAAAGAATGCACAATAATAGAGGGGATCAAGGATATGTATTTCATTTGCACTGATATGTTTAACATTCGACAAAAAATGTTTCAATTATTTTGTACACATATTTTAAAAGAGAAAACTATATATGTATCGTTGATCATCAATCAAATTCCTGGATAATTAGGCATTAGTGAAGGATCTAAAGCTCGATACTGATGATGCATATCACGAGCACTGTTATTTATATCGATCTGTCTAGCCACATCTTCCAAGTCATGGCGAAATCTATAAAAGTAGAAATAAAACGATGGATAATGAGCCCAACTCTCGTTGACGCTGAAATTACATACAAATTTACAAGAATGTGGTTTCAAAGTGAATAATTTCACAAATGTGTGGCAAAAGTAAAAATTTGTATAGCATGAAATATTTCACTGATGATGAAATTTATTTGTCTTGTCAAACCAATTAAAGTAGAAATAAAGAATAACTGAACAACTCGAGTGGGACAACCACCGACAAGAGAAATCTTTGTGACAACATTTGGAACCCAACACGTAATTGAAGACAAAAGTAAACAAGTAATGAGATACTACGGCAATCTATACATAACAACAATCAGTCGGTGTAAAGAAGAGAGGTTCAAGTACCTCAGCAGATTAAACTTTGAATTGGATCACCGTCATCGTTGCACTACTATCACTATGCGATAGGACTAATGGTGAAGTTTAATGACTGGCAATTACTAAGTTAGCTACTAAACAGTACTAGATAGTTAATATTTCCTGTGCAAAAATTACTTTGAATTCTAATTGGTTACTTGGAACCAAATTAACACAAGTAGTTGAATTATTTACACAGATTTCTTGTGCTTAATACAAGTTAAAATGATGAGCAATTTTTGAGGTCATAAATTTCACTTGATTTTTCAAGGATACGTCTGTATAGTAATAAACATACAAAAGAGCCACCATAAATTTTAATTTATATAGATAAATGATCGCGTGGATGTTAGGGTTTACAAACTAAAGAAATTAGCGTTTACAAAATATATTATAAATGCCAGCTTCTTGTGATTATGAAAAACCTATGTCAAATATACCAAAAATAGGTGAATACATCGTTTGGTACATACAGACAAAAAAATTAACAGAAATGCATGGAGGCATATGAATACTACTCTTTCCTACTCACTTAGTGACCTTACTCAGATAGACAAGAACGAAAAGGAAGATTATCAACGCTTAAGCTAGAACAAAACATTCTTTGACTGAATAATTTTAGTAAGGTGTAGAAGAGTGCTAGAGAAATTGAGTCCAGATCTATAGGTTGTGTCGGGACAATTTTCTCTATGTTAATGTATATGCATGTAGGTCCCTTACTATATAGTCTATTGGTAAGAGTACAGCAAGCATCTCAATTGTACGTAGTGTAAAATACATACAAATGGTATACATGTTGATTAGCATAGACAACTATACTGATCAATTATCAAACAACTTTATTATAGTGATCAGATTTTGAAACTGTGAATTACTTACTAGTACAGCGAAATAAGCTACGTCAAGTTTTATCCCTAAAGAAACGGTTTACCTTTTGTTTGAACGATGTTTTTAACTGTTGCAGAATTTTTGTAGTTAGAAATAATTATCCCGATAGAACGAACTTACAACAATTTACTGGGTTCATTAATTAATTTTTGCAAATGTTTCTGCTAGCGGGACATAGATTGGATTAAAGCAAGATAATGCACGACTGCGTTGGTACACGCTGATTGGCTACTCCTTATCCGATCAGCGCTAGTAGATACTTGCAGGACACTCTAGAATCTTCTCATGTAAAACTATAAATCTACTAACGTTTTTCCTATTGCGCTTCTTACTTCCATCTAACCTGTTCAACCGTGTTCTCATTTGGGGACTTGTCGAGTGAATCGGTGTCCGAGGATAATAAGCAAAAGGAATAGCTGGGTTGTAATAAGAGAGAATAACAACAGTTTCCAACAAAAAAAGCATAACAGCACCTCAAAATGATGACAAGAAGTGATATGAAATCATCAGACGCTATTTTCGATGTGAACAAAAGCTAGAAACAATCATAACAAATTATTAACTGAAGTTCTCAACTTTTACGCGAAGTGTTCGATAAACTCACAAAATTATGATTTCGAGACTATACAAAAATGTTTACTTATAGTACTTAGTTGTTCAATAATTTCCAGTCAATAAGTAAGCATTAAAAGATCTGCAAACTTTTTAATCGTATCAATTGTGTAGTTATATTAATGAATTTATTTAGAAAAAAAGAAACGGACTCAATAAATATGAGTGAAATCGAATCTATCACAAGCATCTAATTAAAATGATGGATTTTGTATCATATGACACAACTTACTGATCTAATAGAACAACTGCTTTCTTTTTAAATATGAAATCCGATTCAAATTGACCTAAAACAGATTGTTGAACTCGACTAGCCAATCTAGTGTAGAGAACAGTTTCTACTGTCATTTGACGATTGGGCAGTGAAGCCAATACACGATCAAGACCTTGTACATTTGAAAAGCTAAACACACTGCCATGTGCACCATTAAAAGTACCATCGGCTACATGAGAAAAATTTCAAGGAAAATAAGTAAGCGCAAAGCAAGTGAAACCAACAGTAAAATTCATAAACCTCTTATATATTCAGATGACTGATTTAATATATTTCAAGTAGAACTATTTACAGAATTGGCATTGTCACCGATCTATATGATTTTAATAATAAATAGACGAAATTAAAGCGTTTTAAAAAACAAGAGCTCGTCAGAGGTTGAGGGTATACCCGATACAAAAGTAGTGAGAACCAATTTGTTGACTTATGAACGACTACATAAATAAGTTTCAGAAACACTTTCAATTTACGAGGGTATTGATACAGATGGCCAATGATTGTTGTCATAAACAGTAGTAAAACTTTAGTTAGGGGAATCTGGACTCCTCTACAAAATAATCTTCGAACTGTAAATAATGACAACAGTTATTTGATTAATTCCAAAAATATTGGTACACTAAATGCAGAGTTTTTTAGTACCTCACACATAAAACTTTGTAGACATTAATTTGTCTTACGGTTAAAATTTGCATTTTTTTAAATCGCCAAGTAAATTGATACAATTACAACGAATACTACTGATTATGGAGAGAATTATCCTTTTCCCAGTACCTTACATTTTAAGGAAACGTAGAAATATCAGAAGAGTGTACTTGACTTATGACTACGAAGAAATAATCTAATTGATAAAACTACAATTTATTTGACTGAGTGTTTTGTTTAATCTGAAAGCAACTTTATTCATCGACTACATTTAACTAAAAAATCTCGACAATTATCCTCTCATTTTCTTCGGATAAACAATTTGTACAGATCAACTTACAAAATGTAGTTCTATCTAAAGGAGGAGAACCAAATAGACTTAACGGATATTGTGCTGGAAAGCCATACTCATCAAACATTGGCAATCGAAGCGCTGAACCAGTAACAATAATACCAAGATAAAGAATTCCCATTAGAAATTTGGCCACTTCTTCAACCGTATTTAAACCAAATATTTCTTCTGTAACATTATCTTGTAGATAATCTTCTGGTCCAAAATTCGTACGAAGCTACACAGGATGGAAATGAATATGAAATTGAATTTATCAATTAATTATATGCAGATAGGAAATAAAATAATAGCTATTATTCATTATTTGTGTTCAGTGATTTATATCTGAATGTATATATAAGAGATTATATTTCACATCCTATATCAGATACAAATTCATTGAAGTAATACATATTTCGGAAAAATTGAAATGGCCCTCTGCATTAAGATTTTCTGATTGTTGATACTTATCAGCTACAGATGTCAGTCAGCTACATAACTAGTTATTACTTAAAATAAAAAGTTTTATCAGCAATTAAAACTTAGACGGACTAATGTTGAAGTGAGAACTCAGTTAGGGAAAACCAATTTATTGTTTAATGCGAAATCACACAGAGATAAGTAAAATATGAAAGTCATGCACTAAGTACATCATTTGCATATCTTCTTTGTGTTATCTTTACTTACTCCACTATTCCTCTAATTCCGTTTTTATTTTGATGGCTCTCCTATTTCCTTTCTGCTCTTTTCAATTCAGCCAATCAGTAACAACGTATAACTTCGTACGTACGCACATCAGTTCGAGTTGCCATACTACATTAGCACAGAGATGCAGTGGTCGATTCAAATCCCGTAGTGGTAGAGGTAGTAAGAGTATAAGCAGTAATCGGTAAGGCTAGGATTTCAAGATGTTATTCAAGGAGTATAATCCAGTGAAATAAATTTAGATAGAGAAAAACGGGACATGAAGAATTCAGAAGATTAGAATTTGGGAGAACATAAAGAGTCGATGCACTTGAGCCATTGCAAGCGATTTTGAGCCATGTCATTCAGGGTCTCTAACCATCGGTTGCTATCGTCTCGCGGTCCCCAACCAGGTAGTCTACATCTACCAACATGACTCAGTCCGCTTGTCAGTGACTTCATGGACTTGTGCCATGTTTTGGTCTGGCCACCCCTAGCTTTCTTCCAACCTACTCCTATACCACTGAACATCGCACGTCGAGGCAGTCGGTCGTTGGGCATACGTAACACGTGTCCCAGCCATCTCAACTGATGAAGTTTCACCACTTCATCAATCGATTTGCCAACCTTACCTGGAACCTGTTTCCTAACAACTGCGTTACTTACCCGATGGTCCCAGGATATACGAGCAATGCTTCGAAGACACCTATGATCAAATACTAGTAACCTAGGAATATCCTCCACTCTTACCGGCCATATTTCACTGCCATAAAGTAGGACGGAACGAACTGCTGCTCAGTAAACACGTCCTTTGGTTTATAGACGGATATCTCGCCTACGCCATAAATGACGCAAGTTGGCAAAAGCTAGTCGAGCGTCTGAACATGTGTCTGTGTTCTAGAACCTGACGTAGTGTGAATATCTGATCTATACAACCACGTCCAGGTCGAAAACCGGCCTGGTTTTCTCTAATCTGCTCTTCACGAGCTTTGATTAGGCGTCGAAGTATTATTGAAGCTAATATTTTAGACACTATATTAGTCAAACTGATTCCTCTGTGATTGTCACAAGAGGACTTTTGTCCTTTCTTATAGACTGGCACAATCAGTGATTGAGACCAGTCAGATGGGATTACGTCCAGTTCCCAAATTCTACCTAAGACCTCGTTAATCTCATTGCTAATACTGGACCACCATCCTTAAAAATCTCAGGAGTAAACCTGTCAGGGCCTGCTGCTCTCCCTCGTTTCAGATTTCCTATGGCTTTTTCAACTTCGTAAAGGGACGGAGGACCTACATTAACTTGCCATTCAGGTTGACTGGAGATCGTGGGAAACCGAAGTGTGGCTGAAGGCCAGTTGAACTGATCCCTAAAGTGTTCTGCCCATCGATCCAATCTCCTGGATTGAGAATGAATAATATGTCCATCTTTCTCTGAGATTGTTTCGCTAACGGTCGGGTTCCTAATTCCGGTTTCCTTAACGAGTCTGAACAATTGTCTGCTATTACCTATTGCCGCTGCCTTTTCCATCTCTCTTGCTTTCGCTACCCACCACTGTTCGCGATCATTGCGTAGACTTCTTGTCAGCTTGCGCTTAAGCTGACTCCGCTCTTCATTATGTTCAGAGCCAGGTGGAATGAGTTTCCGAGCATCTATCAGTGCGATAGATGCTGCTGAGATCCAGTGTTGCTCCCTAACCTTCTGGTTTACCTTACTAGCAGATATCACTGCTGTTTCCACAGCTTTTCGGATATCATTCCATGCTGCATCGGGGTGGGCATCACATACATGGCTGCCTAACTGTTTTCCTAGTTGTTCCTGAAATATACTCTTAGCTTGACTATCATTAAGTAGGCCCTAAGAGGTTTCCTTGCAGCGTCTTTCCTACGTCCAGTAAGACGCAAGCAAATACGCGCTCGCACTAGAGCATGATCTGAATCTAGGCATGTGCTCCAGAATGAGCGACAGTCTTCTATCGAGCCCCTCCATCGGTGGCTGATAGCGATGTGATCTATTTGGGTCCAACGTTGGGACGAATTAGGGGGTCGCCATGTTAAAAGATGTTTTTCCTTATGCTTAAAGTTAGTATTTGCAAGGAACAGGCGGTTATCTGAGCATAGCTGCAACAGACGGTCGCCATTATCTGTTCTTTGAGCCACGACACCATAAGATCCACCTAGGTGTCTTTCCCTATCGCTTAGTTTACCTACTTGAGCATTAAAGTCACCGGCCACTATTACTACATCCGAGCGCTAGCTTTTCGGAGAAGGTCCGAAAGCTTTCTGTAAAACTCATCTTTTACATCATCTGAGCTGCAGTCAGTGGGAGAATAGGCAGAGACGACGAAGAGGCAACGACGAGTGTCCCTATCTTTCCGGATTCTTACTGTTCCGTTCAGTCGGACAGCGCACAAACGACTGTCTACTGGGATCCACTCTAAGAGAGCTAGTTCTGCCCTAGGACTCAATGCTATACCTACGCCGGCGAGGCCACGGGAAGCAGAATCAGGGCTTCCAGATACACGAAGCGTAAATCGAGTCGGTTCTTTATTTTGGCATGGTGAGGTCAAATGAATGACGCTACTTGGATCCTGTATGCGCGTTTCGGAGACGCAGCACACATCGATGGCGCGAGATTCTAAAGTTTTAGCTAAGGAAGCCTGCTGTCCTATTTGGCAAAGTGTTCGTACGTTAAAAGCTCCTACGTGTAGTTTAGAGCGTGGTTTCAGGAGACCAGGAATGGCGTTCCACGTACTCGAATCGTTTGCCCTAGCGGTGCGAGGTGATAAAGAGACGTGAGGAGGGTTAGTCATGGAGATAAGAGAGGTATTAGGAGGTGTAGGAAGGATTTGAATGTGACCACCTTGGTCTCTTGTGCTGTTACGGGTATGAGGGCTGATGTCACTTCCCGGCTGCCCACACCGTGGAAGGGTATTTCTTGAGGAACCTGAAAAGGAAATTGGATTAGTGTTGGTCTTGACGACCTGGGAGCGTGACCGCAGAGCCCAAGGGACAACTGCTTGAGGCCGGTCGCGCACGGCCTTTTTGTGGAAGGTTTTTGACGTGTTAGCTCCGTTCTTCAAAGGGCCTTACCGCCGGAGACGGAAATCCGTGAGGTAAGGTGAGGTGTGACATTTTTAGGGTCGACCTTTTCTAACCCCACCCCTCCTTGTGGGAAGGCAGCATCGCTGTCATGCTGGTTGTCCGAGGGAAACACCTTACTGCTGTCACACCTCTGTACAGTCAGCACTACGACTTCGCCTTCGGACCTTGGGTTTGTTGCTTTTAGTCTTACCGCTCTTTAACCGACCTGTCTGACATGGTAGTACCTTGAGGAGCGGTTGTTTCAGCCAGTATAGATCGGTTGATTTATCACGATAGGCAAGCCCGACCACCACGTCAAGGTAGCAGCTTCAATTTAATCTTCTGTTGCCAGGCATTCCACTTCCAATTACGGCTACGTACTGCTTTTATCTGTCAGCATAAGTAGCATACACAACAGTGTTATTGCTTAGCAACAACTTGAAAGGAGAGCTTATGACAGAGTATGTTAAAGGTTCCCAGTCAGCGATCTATGCCACACGAGTGGTAACAGGTGTAATGAGAAGCGTTATTCGGAAAACAGACCGCATAATAACCATGAATCAGAACTCATATAGTGATTTATAGTGGTTTATGTTGATTGGCTATTATAAATAAAAACATTTATATGTTTTATGAACCGCCAAAGAGTATGAAGTTAGCCAGACTATAAATAAGTACGAACACTCATTAGGAAATATAAAGCATAAACAAATGAAAAACAAGCTACACAACAGACGGGCATCAAGGTTAATCAATAGTTTACTGGAAATACGAAAAAACGCTGGTCTTATTAAACGTACACTACACAGATGGATTAAAACTTCTACAAGTGTATATGTGTATAAGAACTTTTTATATTACCATAGGTACTTTACTTCGAGGCTTTCAAATGTCCAGGTATGGTCTAGGGTGGGGAGTCTACTCTCTTTCCCCGAATGCTCTTATATGACCACGTGTATATAACCACTGCCAGTGAAGTCCTACTCTCTACTTTCTCGAGGATGAGGGTTTGTTCACAAAGTTGAGAGGACGAAAAGCAAATGTCTGGCTCTTGAAACAGACTGATCAGTAAGAAGAATCCACCTAATGGAGTTGGAAAACCCTGATCCCATACCAGTAGTGTACATGGGTTCCACAATCCTGAGGAGATAGATGGCGTATGAACCTGATGTAGGTCACCGGTTAACATGGGACGTTGGTCAACCGCGTTGTGGATTGGACCTTCAGGTTAAAGACTCGGGGAGTGATTCCCTAATAAAACTAACTACTTCGGTTTGGACATCCGAACCATATCACAGCCCACACATAAATCCAATGACGTATTTGTTTAAATCAATAAATAAAAATTACTCCTAATAATGTTTATTCTTATTAGTCATTAAAACAATATACAAAAAAGGAAAGAAAAAATAAAACATTAGGCCAATAAATCACTCACTTTTATCGTACTACCAGGGACACCGACTAGGCCTAGACCACCTTCTTCCATTGGACTAGCAATTTCATGTCTCCAAGACTGTAGTTCATTATCATGTATGATTTGTTCAGTCCCACCAGCTGTGTGGATTAAGGGAAAATTTAAATTTATTTCACTACCCAAAATAATTAACCGAAGTTTTTACTCAATATATCGATAACCTAATGATAGTATAATTTTCACTATAAAATAACTAGATCAGGCTAGAATAAACAACTTTTTTGATTTATTGTCAATTTACACTATTGATTGCTTATGCTACGAGAAAAGATGGCACATTCCCCGTTGAATATGTTACATTAACACATTGGTAATCCTACGACCAGATTTTCCCGAGAGATCAACTGTAACTTTCGTCAAGTCTATTAATGAAATAAACAACTGACTACAACTACTACTACTACCTCTACTGGTTCCAACCAATTTATGTTGGCTTCTCTAACTGATGTAAATCATTCAGACAAAACCGAACGATTCGATTAATCCTTAACAATCCACCGACAACTTTACCCTATAAACTATAGTCACATTTGACAACTAAATGTACATATACATTGGGAAATGCTGCTAACAACCAATTCAATTTCATTCTATTTAACATCAAAGTTTTCAATAAACAACATTGTTCGTAGCAAATTCACTCCGAAGGATTGATCTTATAAATTAAAATTAGACGATCCCAACAGATTTGTTAGACTCAATAATTAAGTCAATAAAAGAAAATACCTTAAAAATGAAGCATTTTTAAAAGATATGTAAATAAACAAGGATAGGACACACATTGAGGAAAGCACCCAACTGCGTCACAAAGTAAGCCCTCACATGGAATCCTCAAGGCCAAAGGACAAATTACGCCGAGAAATGGAGACAAACATGAGAAAAATGAACAAAAAGTGAATAGAACTGGAAAGGAAGGCGGAGGACAGAGTGGGTTGGAGAATGCTGGTCAGCGGCCAATGGGAGTGACAGGCGTAAGTAAGTAAGTAATACAAATAAACAAATATATTAGTAAGCGCACTAAGAAAATGATTTCTTTTTTCAGACTAAACAACAATCTCAGAATAAATTCCAAGTTGGCATATTAAAAAGAATGTACTATCCGCTTCACAACACAAACTGATATGTTTAAGACGAGTGGTCAGTTCTCGACAAAGATGTTTCGTCTAGCCACGATCCTTTACTATAAACACTTCACTATTAATCATTTTTCATAAATATTATACAATTCATTAAAAAATGAGACCTGAAATCATGTCAGGTAGAGTATCAATGTATTAGTTATAAAAAATAAGCACCACACTGTAATTGTACAGGCATACAAATTTTTCTAGGAAGTTATTCAAGATATACTGGAAGTTAGTTGTTCCTTGTACCATAATAACATTATAAACTAATTGTACCAAAGTGACAGTAATTCACTAGCACGAATAACTTATTGCTACTAGATTTATTTACGTTTCGGAAGAACAAGGAATTGTTCTCCTTTAGATAACCAGTAGATAAGTCTCCCTACACTCAAAGGGTTGATGTAGAATATTCATAATATAACTAAAGCCACTTCAGTTGTTCGTAATGAGTATATTGATTAAAAAGAATAAGTAAAATGAAACAAGTCGCACGGACCCTAACCAAGTAGTCTACACCTACAGACATAATTCAGACTAGAAGTTAGTGACTTTAAGAACAGAATCTAAGTTACTTACTAGATCCTCGAAACACGTCATAAACATAGAATTTTGAGCCTAAAATTATTGTAACTAATCCTGAGTTACAAATCAATCTATTAGGACTTCAGTTATTTGCCTTTAGAAATCAATTGAATCCAATATGCTACAGTGCATCACTAAGCTTCTTTAGCATGTAAAAGAACTTCGTCGCAGAAATAATGTCGCTCGGAACTCCAGTCCTCTAACTTGATGAGTTTAACATTCATTTATTGTGCTGCAGACAGAATGTTTTCAATTCCATTCAATGAATAAGGCAAGTCATCGATCAATCAGAAATTTCTAAGACTTAAAACTTCTAAATAAAGTGCTAACGTTTCTAATCTGATATATTTCTTTCATGATTATCAGTAATAGTACACTCGTACAAAAACAAGCCAGCCCTTTAATCTAAAATGATGACAAAAGCTGATTGTCATGCCTTGCGAAAGCTGCGGAAACATGATAACATATCACCCCCAACGTTCTTTCAACTGTCTCCAACACTAGTCAGCATTGTGCGTCGCGGTAATCGATGTTCAGTCATACGTAACACGTGGCCCAACCATCTCAGTCGATTAAAATTTGCAACCTCATCAACTGATTTACCACCATTCCCTAATACCATGTGTCTAACCTCACTATTACATACCCAGTGATCCCAGCAGATGCGAGCAATATTTCTAAGACATCTGTGATCAAATACTAGTAACTGACAAGTATCTTCTACTTTTAATGGCCACGTTTCTCAGTCGTAAATTAAAAAGAACGAACTGCCGCGCAGTATGCCCGTCCCTTAAATGATAGACGCATATCTCGCCTTCTCCACAAGTGACGTAAGTTGGAAAAAGCCAAACGAACTTTCTGAATCCATGTAGAGATTTGGTCAGACACCAACCCATTTGGGCTGATCAGCTGAGCAACGTAATAACTCCGTCGGGAATAATGAAGGAATGAACCATGAAGATACGTTCTGTGTTTGATTTCATATATTTTAGTTGAGCTATCCCCGTTTGGGCAACGGTGACAATAAAAATCCAAATGCGAATTAAATTAGATGATTTTGTTTCAGACATTCACTCAGGCAGATTGTAAGATAAGATGCGGAGATGAACTCTGAACTTCATCAGCATCTAGACTTTAGGCATAGGTCATACTATATAATGTGGACATGAACGATATTATAACAACGCAATACCTTTCTCACACGTTGTTTTACGTCACAAAATCCACCGTATATGAAATTCTGAGTACGCAGATAGAAGAAAAGAACAACAAAAATACGAATAAAGATAAATTGAAACTAAAAAACAGAAATAATACTTACGGTAAAATAAACGAACGTAGCTTGAGATAAACTGTTCCAATGCATGATATACAAGTATAGCATCTTCACGATATGGATAATTACCTAAACTATTTGGATCAAATACCTGAAAATATCAAAATAAAATGGCGAATGATAGATACAGTAGTTGGATTTATAAAACAAAACAGATAATTAATGACGCTATCCCTGTTTGATATTTAAACTGAGTAATGTGAATAACATATGAGGCACAATACGAGATTCGTATTGAACTATGCATCAGTGATACCACATAAAACCTGACAGGTTAGAAGTTTTACTTCAAAATAACACAGCTAGACGAAGTCGACTATCAGAATAAAGTATTAACGCATCTGAAATACGGAATAAGATAATACTATCAGTGGAACTTTAACAAAGAGATCATTCAATCACGATACCTATTAGTTAACAAACATTAAAGTATTTGAAAAACACTAAAATATAAAAGCTTACTTTAACACAAGGTATATTACAGTCCCGATAGTTGATATTATATATTCACTTAAAATAAAACAAAATCGAAAGACTTACTCCTCTTGACTCTAGTTCACGATAAATATTTGCATTTACATCAAAACGCCATTTTTTAAAAGCTCGTCTTAATAACTGTTTAATTCCTTTACGTGACAATTGAATATTACGAGATATCCATCCATTTTCAAATGTCCACTCTTTTAATTTCCTTCAATTTAACAAGTAAAATAATTATTATAAAACTATGAGTTATAATTTAAGATTTATATGAAAGGAGTTCAATAAACCAAAACAGTAATATGGTATACATATTCATTATGAGCAACAAAACATATGTAAACATACGACGTACACCTAGCTGATGTTTTTATCTAACCTAGACCTTAGAAAGCCATCAACATATTAGTTAACGGAAAAGAATAAGGATATTATACAATTAATCAGCAGAAACTTATGGAATTATGGATATGTATAAGCTAAATCAGTCAACAATATGATCATAAACACAAAACTGTGGAAGTCATTATGGGGTTAATAATAATAATAATATAATAATAATAATAATAATAATAATAATAATAATAATAATAATAATAATAATAATAATAATAATATTGTTATTATTGTTATGATGAAACTAAATAAAATACCGTATTGTATTGAATAAATAGAGAAGATCCTTACGGGGAAATTTATAATTCACAATTTAATTATTCCAAATGTGAGTGCTATTTGAATTTCGCTGATGAAGAAATACAATGTCGCCATGAAATTACACGATATATTATACGAAGTAATGAATAAGCTGGAGAGGACCAATTTATTGTTTAATGCAAAATCACACAGAGATAAGTAAAATATGAAAATCATGCATTAAGTACATCATTTGCATATCTTCTTTGTGTTGTCTTTACCTACTCCACTATTCCTCTAATTCTACTGTTATTTTGATGGCTCTCCGATTTCCTTTCTGTTCTCTTCAATTCAATCTTCTGATGCCAGGTATTCCACTTCCGATTACGGCTACATACTACTTATATCTGTCAGCATAAATAGCATACACCACAATAACAATCTGTTTCTGATTTCAAATTATTGTTGTGTCCTACTACAGATGACAGTAATATCACAACTGAAATACAGTAGAATGCGTGTTGCAATTCTTCTATGAGCAACATAATCTGCTTAAATGTAGAAAACCGCTATTCAAATTGAAACATAACCTCATTGAAATCATGAACAGATCTAAGTTAGATTAACATTGAAAACCTAGGAACACTGGATATAATTGTCTGTTTTTGCAAGAATTATTGTAGATTATATTAGTATGCAAGAATGAATTATACTTAGTACTCCAGCTTTCAACATGAACTCTATAAAAATAGAATTTACTTTGTTACAGGTAGGATACTGCGGAAATGTGGTGCAACTAAATGATATATTGGATGTGATTGTGATACATTACGTCGCAATGACACATAGATTGATTCCAATATTAAATGAGTTAACAATCGACCAACAATCATATGATGACAGGCATCAGCAAGATTAACCCATAATTTTGCTTGTAACCATATTGAAGTTGGATCAGTTGGAAGAATGATCTAAGATAAAAACATTATGTTTTGTTAATAGTACAAGTCATAACTTGAAAAAAAGCTGTTACAACTATTACTGAGGCATATGTAAATATATAAGATTTATACTCAAAGAGAACATAAAGTAAAGATTAATATCTAATTTTTGGATCATATTTCAAATAAAACATTAACAGTAGTAAAATACAAACAAGTGCTCTACAGGTTCCATCAACTTAAAAAATACCATGTTTTTGGAATAGTTTGTTTTATTTGCTTTGCCTAATAATAGGATTAAACTAACCCAGTTATATTAGACTGAAATGAACTTCTATTATAGTTCCGTCAATTATATTACGATAGTACTCAATAAATCTATCACTTTATACACTTTAGCATCACCTGAAAACCTAGTGAGTTTTGAAAATCTAATAATATGGATTTTGTGGACACCTAGTAAATTTACTTAACCAAAGATATAGGCTTCTGGTGGATGAAATGATAAGTGATCGAACTCATTTGGTTAACTAATAATCGCGAGAATGCGAGAGCAATCAAATTTATCAATATGAGGACAATTTCGAGCATATTATATCTTGTTGAAGTCATGGATATTAAAAGGTTGAAGTTAAACTTAAATAAGATATAATCATCAGTCTCACATTGCCCCAGTGAGTTCAGTCTCAAATATTTAGTTGCACAACACTTTATTTCATCCATTCAATCGTAAATTCCTTCTGTTCATTACTGCTTCACTTTTTGCTTTCTATTCATTTTATTCTGTAAATCTATCTACCGCGTAGCTTTTGGTATCAATTTTCATTTTCTAAGAATTCATCGCCAAGTGTTTTTTTTTATCTTTTCTCCTTGGATTTTCACAGGAATTATCCTGTGAATATTTTTGTGATTTTTTAATGTTTTTCTCGTCTTAATTAATATGATTAGAAGTATGTAAATTGGTTATAAATATTTATTATATTGTTTTTAGGTTATAAACAGTTGAAGAGAATCTATGAAATAAATGAATTCATATAATTCAACTACATTCATCATTTTTTTGTTTCATTCCAGTGCAGTAGATTAAATTATTACAGAATGTCACCTTTCAGCTTACTTTACTAATTCTACAGTACACTGTATTTCAAACGCAACACTACAGAAAAATATTAGTCAAAATTTATATCGGATCTCTAGAGTAGCATAATAGTAATATGAAATTTGCAAGTGAACAAAGATATTATTTGAATTTGCAAACAATAGTTACAAACGAATTATAATAGCTAAGTATGACACTATGGAACAGTGTTATGGAAGCGTGTTCCAAGGGTTTTTGAAACACGCTCCGGGTTTTGAAACGAGGTTGCTCCCGCCCAGAAGTATCGACTTATACTTTATAGCGATAACATAGATACAAAGTTTGTACTTGAAACTACGGGTAGATTTTTTTGTAATGGTTAACTATTCGGTTGGATACAGATATCTGGTATTATGAATATCCATATATATCTATATGGTTTTTTTACATTTATACAAATTTGGATAACTGGGTAAAGGAAGCCATTTAAAACATTGGTATCAAGTAAGTCCGGAAACCACCTAAGATTATTTTAGTTATCATCAGAGGATAATCTTTTAATCTCTGAAGAGTCATTTCAGTCTAAGAAATACTTTAAATACTATTTGATGAAACCGTCAACATTTCATTGAAATCATGACCAGATCAATGTTAGACTATCAATTAAAATCTAGGAGTACTGGAAAATCGTCTTGTCTTAGTATGAGACTCCTCAGCAGTGAGCATTCATGATCCCGCACACAGGACTTGAACCTGATACCATAGATCTCGCGCGAACACTTAACTTTTACATTCATCGGTTCACGATTTCAATGGGATCCAACAGTGTCCACAACCACATATTGAAAATCATAAACATTTTTCCGAGTGATACAGTAGTACACCTCATGAAGTGACTGTAATTATGCGAATGATCAAGAAATTAGATATCGTTGTTGCTAAGTGTGGTATGGTTGTTGAGATAATCGATCTGGAAGTCCAATAAATTATTCAACAATACACATCTTTACTAAACTGGTATTTTATTGGGGTGAACCCCACTCAAAAGATCGCTTGTAGGGAGTATATAGCTGAAAGTGACATCGAGACCATCAGTCGTCAGATGGAGGGAAGAGTTTCAGTACACCGAAAGCACAGAGTATACAGAACACTTGAAAACCAGATGTGAAGACAGTTCGGATCGCAGAATACACAACAAGATGCAAAAGGATGATCGAAGTCTATGTATGCGTACTATATAAACACTTTAATTTCTTATAATAAACATTCTATCAGCCCAGTGCCCTATCGTAACTGTACGACAATCACTCAAAATAATAGATGTATACCAACTTCAAGTTTTAATAACCTGTAAAAGATTGGGAATTATAAATTTGAACTACAATGCTTACCCCACTTCCATCATTTGAATTACGATTCAATTGAATCGCAATTGGCTTTAATTGTCTCTTTTCAGTATAAAAAAAGATAGCTAATGGTGCACATAATTCTCGACCACGTTTACAACTAAGTCCTTGCATTATATGAAAATCAAGTAAGTACAAACGATTAGCTGATACCATTTGACGTAGTGTCCAACCTTCTAAATGAGGTTTCAGTGAATTTGCTACCATTTCAAAACTAAAATTAATTTATGCACAAAATTAAGTAACAAAAATATATAAATTAATCAATTTGAAGAGAGAAGGGATAATCGCCTTAATCGTTCTATTCCCTAATCATTTATTTATTCACACAATAAATTCATGTTTAAAACATTTGAGTAAGTTATCATCAATCGATGGATACTTAAATTATATATATATATATACTGATGACTAAAATATATTTCTTTGATATGGTACTACTTATGACTAGCAGAAACCAATGAAGCAGTAATGAATATAAGATTCGAAAAAATCTAGTTGCGAAATTGTTTGTGAAATACTCATCAGAAATACCAACTGTTTAGATAATAGAATACATTCAGATGAATACTATATACAGACTTTTTCATTTTTATAAGTTAAAATGGACTAATTTCCACGCATTAGAACGAGTCGTTAATGAAGCCTTAAATGATGACATTTTATGGATTGATGCTTTAATTTCTTTAAAACAAGTACAGGAAGTCACAATTCAGAAGAAATGATCCACGGTGTTTCCAAAGAACTGTCTCAATTTGATTATTACATTAGTTCGATCATGACAAAATGTTGTTTTAAGAAAATGTCAGTCGATACAATTATGATGAAAAAACCGTGGAACAAAATTTAGATTAGTGATCGCTGTTGGAGCTGAGAGAAGAAATAAAAAGGTGAAGCTTTGGAAACTTATTTTTTGGGAGCTAGTTTGTTATTTTATAAATACCTTTTAAACAATTGGTTTGTGATATTTTCATATTCTTTTAGTTGTAAAATTTCATTTGACTGATTGATCGTTGCGATCAGTCAGTCACAACACAGAACCTGGTACGTATGCACATCAGTTTGAGTTGCCGTACTCCACTGGCACAGCAAGATGAAATTGCCAGGACAAATCCCACATCAGTAGAGGTAGTGACAGTATGAGTGGTGATGGAAACGATGAGACATAAAAGATACGATTCAAGAAAAATTATGGATTCAAAAGCTTGGAAATTAGAGGAAGACAAAGAAGGGATACGCCTGGGCCACTGGAAACAATTTCGAGAAATGTAACTTGCAGACTCTAACCACTGGTTACGATAATCACGTGGACTCCAACCAGGTAGTCTACACTTATTAACATGGCTCAGTTCAAGTGTCAATGACTTTACGGACTGGTGCCATATTTCGATTTGGTCGCCCCTGGCTTTCTTCCAGCATACTCCTACACCATTAAACATCACCTGACGAGGTAGGCTATCGTTGAGCATGCGATATCTCTTATCGTCTATAAATTGATGAATTAACTATGACACTAGTAATAATCTTTTATCATGCATCACGTGGGAGTGTACCAATTCAGATTCATTATTTGTGGCGCATTGTAGACTCGTATTTTATGTATATAATCACAAAATGTTCTGAGCTTGAATGATACAAAAAATAAAAGATGATTGAGTAGTTTAGGAACGTATGAATTTAAGGTTAGTAATCAACCTTCAGCATACACAATATCTGCGTTAAAGGACTCAGGGTTATGTGGGTAGGTGAAATTCACAGCAAAGTAACAACAATGGGAGTAGGACAAACTCACAAGAATCAAATCCTTCCGAATACTCTTTTTTCCATTTGATTCCATAATGTATCGAACTAATTCATGTTTTTAGACGTACTAAGAAATAAAAAACTAGCGACAATGCAAACATCTACAGAAACTAAGGGCTGTTAGTAAATAAAGGAGGGCAACAATATATCCCCTTGACAGGGATCAAAATAATGAAGATGAATCTCTAACACTCATAACCTATATCCAAAAATAAAGCTTTATGATTATGACATGGTGTTTCACTAATATTTGTTGATGAACATAAATATATTAGGAGTACTACCATCCATTGTTTCTAAGCAACTGTATTCGTCCGGTTATTTTAACATTTACAACGTTCGGATTTGTTGTGAACGCTTATTTTCATTGCTCCCACTTTACTACACATTTATTAAAACAAACTAACCACACATACTACTAGTCGATATCAGTAGTTCTATATAAATCACACCGATCAACAACGTGAAAGAGTACAATAGAGGTAAATTAGGTTGAAGCAATAGTTTTGCTAACACGGACGTAACGTCTTTCAAGAATACATAACATAAAATGCAACCTGGAAATCAAGTGATCAGTCACAAGTTCTTTCACTCAAACTCTTCGTACGATATAGACGGGTTAGTCGAATTAGTTTATACACAATTAATCTGAGGAATTTAACCAAAACTATTAATACTCAAATAAATGGTAGTAAACTGATGATTCTTATAACGAGTTAAGAAAAAAATTTGCTCGCCTTTTTGGTAATGTACGACAGACTTGAATAGTGAATGGATTACATCCACGAATACGTTGTGCACCAAAGCAAATATCATTCATCATCCAAAACTGTAAACTCTGCGAAAAATCAGAATTTTATAAATCCGAAAACGATGAAATGAAACTGAATATATACGTACTTAATGAAATAGATAAAATAATTACACGACTTGCAAACTACAAAATCCGACTCCGTGAATAACTGGGACAAAAGTTTACTTATTCTCGGTGAGATTAATAATCTAACCTGCACTATATCTAACAAACAAGTATGCGACTTTATATCTAAACAAAGTTGAATAGTCTCAACCTAAACCAAAACATCTTTTACACCGCTAAACACAGACACTAATTAGCCATTTATTCGTAAACAACGTAACACCTGACACAAACGTGCCTCACCCCAGGTACCACACCACATCAGCGAGGTCATCCTAGTATCAACGATTGTAAAAAAATACTGAGCATAGATAATAAGGTTCGAAAAAAATGAAATAATGTGAAGAAGCGTATGGAAAAAAAATGAAACTGAAGCTCAGAAGAAAGATAAAGAATGGATGTATCTGTGTCACCGCAATAGATTTAGACTCTTGTCAACTAAGGTCTCCTACATTCAGGTACTCTGCACTTAACGACATAATTTAGACTAACAGTTAGCGGTTTCATGTCTTCATTTGGCGACCCCTAGCTTCCATCTAATCTGATCAAATTATCATTTATGTGCAAGTAGAGATTGGGACGGACTGATATCTGTTGAAACAAGTTTTCCTTTTCTATAAAGTTTGTATTACAATTGGTTACAAAATCAAACAAATATTCTTTTTGTCTTATTTGCAACTTCACTTTTATTCGACACTTTAATTTCTGAATGAAAGTTCACGAAAGATTTGAATCAATATTCTTGTGTAAAATCCATGAATTTATTATGTTTTGGTCAAGTTTTAAAATTCAAGCAATATTTGGTTAAATAAAATTTACTCACCACAGGTTCAGTAATATTATATTTCTTATAGAAGTTTCCCAATGTGTCGAGAGAATCCCAAGACTCTTCACTTGTGTATTCTTCAGCCAGACTAGTACGTTCAATAACTTCCAGAACTAAAGGCTCAATATCCCACTAGATATTTATTTTAAATAAACATGATTATCACTTACTCGAGAGTCTGATGAAAACAACTCCGAAGGTGGGATTTCTTGTAACTAATTGATAACAGGTAAGACTAAATTATACACCAACTCACTTCGACTGGCAAACCCTTTGAGCGTTGAAATAAAGTAAAAAATTGCATACGTCTACTAACTTCCTCTTCTCTTAACTCTGGAAAGGGTTCCAATTGAGGAATCCAGGCCTCACAGTCATGAACAACATATTGGTGGTCTTGACTAATCCACTGATGTACAGGAAAGAAAAAATATTTCCATTCAGCAGTCATCCCAAATCTTCTATCCCTAATAATCACTCTATCTAAAAACCAAGCAGGTGGTGGATAAGACTGAGTAGTACACCAAAATTCGATATGGTGTAGTCGTTTAAACACCTACATTACAAAGTGATCAATATCGTGTAAATCATGATTTACTTTAAGTCGACTCCAGGCCTGTAAATCAATGGTGAATTTCGCTTGTGTATAGTCAGTATCATTTTGAAATATATTATCCAAAGTAATTGTTGGTGACTGATTACCACAGTGATCAAACATGACCATGTTAACTCCGGGACCTAATTCATCGCCGCTGTAGTCTCCTGTCACCACACACACTTCAAACGCTATTTTGGTGGATATTCCTCCCATGTTTATGCGCAATCTTTATAAAATTACAAGATATTTTTGACTGATCTGTAATCAAAATAAATAAATAACATGATTTCTCTGATTACATTGACCAAAACGTTATCAGTAATATCACCTATAGGAACATTGATAAACCGAGTTGATGTCTAAGTTAATACATGTCACAATAATATGGAACCATAAATTTGTTCTAAGTGCCTAAATAGTTGCACGAAGCAAACGAACAATGACTGTACAAGTGGATTTCGGCAAAATACCCCTGCAGTAAGGTAAATAACCACCGATAAGACGAAGGATATTTAAATCCAATCCTAAAGTTTACAACAGGATGATAACATGTTTAGTCGGATGTTCTGGAATAAACCCAAAGTCCATTTATGATTATTAGTCAAAATAAACGTAGATAAGCATTAACGAAATATCAATGACTGAGATGAGCGGCAAATTTTTCCTTGAAAAAAGGCCAGAAGTGCTTTATGAAGTCCTATCAAATAAATCTGATGAGACGCATAACTATCCATATCACTGTCGTACGCGCCACTATTCGGAAACTAGATATTTCCCTAAATAGGGAAACATGATACTTAATGAGCATACGCATTCATCTGGTAAAACTTAATCAAAAATCTTACATTTTAGAATGAAAACCTCTATGATCCTTCATTTATAGTTTAGTTTCAGACACTAAAACAACTAGAAGCTGAGTAGGTGTGAGAAGCTGGAGTTCAAGGATAATGATCGAAACATTTGTGTAAAGTATAGTCATTGAAGAGACGAAACTACCAAGCCCGTTACAGATTAGGTTTGCTTGATCAAACCTATTAACCAAAAGTACACATGACAATTTGAAACAACGAACTACTTCACAATGTTAACTCTGACGATTCATAAATATGAGAAATTCTATTTCTTGTAAACCCTTGAGAACCTCGTTATTCTATGCATTATCATATGTAACATGCCATAAGTGAAAATCATTTGAATCTATCCTGTTAAACTAGTTGTCGCAACCCCCACGGAATACCTTTCTAGTCGTAGTCATTAAGGTAACACTAACATCAAAATAAAGGTTATTAGCAAAATTATATCCGGTGCAGTGGTACTGACAAGCCAAGCCTATTAGAAGCTGACGTTAAATATGCGGACATAAAAATTTGCCAAGACTATACAAATCATACTAACTAAATAAATCATAGGAATGTTGGGCTAAAGTGGCGACGGTGCTACAAGTTAAATCGGCTGATTTATTTTCACATTAAACAACTATACGCAGTTAGCAGAATAATGTATTTTCCCAAGTACGATAATGTCGTGTTTACTCCTAAGGAAACTTTGCAGTACTGAATAAAAATATCCCTTAACAGCTCCCTATGATAAAGTGAGCTTACGCAAAAACTATGCACAAAAATAAGAGATCAGACAGACTTTATGAATGAAATCTGGATATCTGTCACAAGACCGTTAGTATGGACAACCAGTATAATTATTCACAGGATTAACCGTATTACATGCATTTCAAAATATAATACATGACCATTATGCTAGAATTTGTAATTCCCCATAAATAAAAAGCAAAACCGATATTAAAGTGCTTCATAAAACCCTGAACACACTACAAAACACCCTAGTTCAAGTGCAACACGAAACCTACTTAGTTTTACAATTGAAAAAATTTAGAAAATAAACTGAGCCAAATAAAATGCAGGACATTAAAAACAATCTCCTTTAAGATGATCAAAAAACCAACAAAGTAAGACCCTCTGACCATGCGGATCTTTCCATAACGTCAGAAGCTCAATAAGATCTTAACTATTGCCCTGAATGCTAAAATCGTGGGCCACAAACGTAAATTTGACAATATTAAAGCAAATATGGTAGTTGAAAAATCATAAAAAGACAATCTGCAGTGAAGTAGCTCCAAATGAAACGAAATCAAAACATGAGTTTGACGGACCAACAACGTAAATATTAACTTCATACGTACCCTTACAAATTTTTATTTATATCAGTTTTAACAGTCCCAACTTCACATCTCTCTCACTACTCACAAAACACTTTGATACCTTTTATTGGACCTCATATATGTATGATCTAATCTCCAGCTGAAAGTCTGCTATGGTAATGTTTTATCCCCAAGGTCTACTGAGAGTGGCTGTGAGCGATATCTTTTTGAGTCTGAGACTTGTTTATAATAGTTTTAAACCATTTGTATGCAATAGGTAATAAATTCCTTGAAAGGAGGGAGATTAATTATTACCGATTTACACGCAAAACAAAGACTATTCAAACATACGTAAGTTGAACGCATACTAATTCAAAGGTTCATAAGTAATGCACGTTGTGCAAATTAATTAATAGAAAAGAGAAAGTCCGTAATAAATGTAGGATTCGGTGGGAAGTCTACAATTTAGGATGGTATGGAATTACCAATAAATAAATAAAGTGCTTTCAAATGGAAACTTTTTATCCCGAATTCCCTCAAGTAATGTTTATATGCAGAATATTCCAAGGAAAAAGTCAAACTACATCGCACAGAATTACAGACAAATTCTGTGATCATTCATTTACTGAAAACATCCTAAATTAACGCTACTTCCGCACTGATTATAAGAAAATACATTTAAAATAAATGAGATTAACATGGTTCTCAATCTATGGAAGAAATGTATTATTGCTACTGAAGAAAAATCATAGAACCTTGGGTGGGTGCGGCACTGAATGACTCAGACGGTACTTGAGGACAAAAAGCCACAGTTTAGGGCAAAACAAAAATTTATGAACGAATTAATCAGGTTTGCAACAACGACCCTCACGTTTTGAAGCAACGATCATTCATTCAAATAGCCCTACAGCATTTTGACATATTTTTTGTGTTATTTTGAGATGAGAACAGTAACCAGGATCTCAAACTCTAACTTTAAAATTGCAACCAAATTCTAAGTTCTCAAACTAACTAACTATTCCTTTTGAGCTATAATGAAGAAGTGAGCTTTTTCTAAATACCTTTGACGTCACTCAGACGTCATCCATAAATTGATGTCTCACTACATGATCCATGTGTGATTACTATGATTGACACTTTAGATATTACATTTCCACACTCCGCATCATTGTGGCCAGCTACCAAACATAGTAGAAAGTCTATAAACTTATCAAATAACTGTCGTTTTTCTCTTGATGCAAGGTAACAGCACATGATTTTTTGCGTGCTTCCCGTGATATATGTTTATGGTGTCAACTGGATCCACCGACATACGGACTTTCGTTTTTACTATGAACTTGGTAACGTGATTAAAATCAACTGAAAATCTGACTGAGAAGCCAGGACTTTGCGCATAACGACAACATCGATACTAGTAATCCCCATACTCTGGAACCATTCAAGTATCCCCACGACCTCAATACCAAACAAAGTGAATAATTAAAACAATGACGCCCTTCAAAGTACGAGTGGCAAATGCATAGTAATCCAGTTTTAAAAAAAAACATACTGAAGACATTTTCATGTTTGTATTGGTTTTGATCACAGGGATTATACCTTCCGATATTTAATATGCGTGAAATGAGCTGATATAGACAAATCGAATAATTTAAATGTACTTCATAGTTTTAAAATATGCTTCTAAGCGCTTCATGTCATTCACCAGTTGGCTGAGCTATAACCCGTGAGGAAAATTTGTATTCTATGTTTATATTTTAGATATAATTAAGTTTGTGTGGCAGTAAAGTTGTTGGAACGTTACAGAGAAATCTTGTACCTGGTTGTACTGTGGAGTTGCTAATAATTAATGATAGTAGTTAAAACTCCTGACCATCCCGGCAGAAGTAATTTGTCTGAAGCGAATCCTGAGAACGCATCTTATCATTCCACAACTTGACGTAATGTCTTGGGACTGAGTAGAGAAAGCTTTAATTTAGGATGGAAGTACTCCAAATTTAAGTAGCACGTGTTACCGGCTAGTTATATATTAATCATTCTTTCAAAATGTTGTCGACTGTTTCTGTAGCATTTGCTTCTTAGAATGAGATAAAGATTTCCATCCGGTCAGAAGGCATAAGATGGCCACTATCACATTGATGTTGAGGGCGATAACTCCAACCCACCCGTGTTTGTGGGGACAGAACATTTTGTATGTATCAGGCTCTTTATAATTGAGAATAAGACAGTCAATCTAAGATATAGATTGTCTTCCTACGCTCACCACTCAGACTCATGTTTCCAATAATATGCTGGATTAGCTATTCTACTAAGACAACCTATAACATGCTAACTCGGACTTTTACACTAGGATTGCGTGGCTGACATCGGATGGACAAAAAAAGAAAAGAAAAAAGACAATAAAAGGTATAGTCACTAGTATTCTTAACACTTCACCCTCTATATACACACCCTTCTAATAAGCCGCTTCCCTTGTACCAACCTTGACTTCCCTTCCTTCATGTGAGCTTACTCCAACTTGTTAAACATCACAACTCGTTGTTCTTTATTAGTACATTCTCTAATATGGAGCCTCTGACTTCACGTCACTCTAACAAGTCATTATATGAATTTATTCTAATTTATTATACCTCTGTCCGTTCTACTACACAATGTTAAGCAACCTTTGGCGTTCATATCCAAGTGCCTTGCTGTTCAACTGTTTCTCTTTTTTTCTTCTTCAGAATCTTGCTCTGAGAGCACAGCTATGAAACTTCTGACGTTTGGAACAAACTTGACGTACGCGTCCTCTCAAGGTCATAGTTTACAGCAAGCGCTCTACGATTTCACTTTATAACAACTATAAACTTAATGAGTTGGGAAACATTTTGTGAACCAACAAATGTTGTGATTTATAGATCATGCCTGTAAAAACGGTATGTACCTGCACATGCAGAAATATATTATTATTATTATTCTGTACTTACTGTTCAGGTTGACAAAGGCGAAAAGCATACACTTGTGGTAACTTACTTTTATCACGAGAACACGAGCACCGGCAATGTAACTGCATTTGCTTGGA